GCAAAACTCTGCATTTGAACAGTCAATAGCAAATACTTAAACTAATAACAAAACAGTAGCTGATTCAGAAGCGCCAGATTGTCATAGCAAAGTCAGAATGACCTCCTCTCCTAGGTTCACGAAACGGTCGTCCATAAAATGCATTGCTGTTCTGTTGTAAGTAATCTTAAAGATTCCTAAATGCATCTACTTCCGGAAGGCCAAATAAAGTGCTTTTGCTTTCGCCTAGAAACACACAGCGTCTCCCTGACATGCTGCTTCAACACTAACTGCGGTTACTGAAACCACGCCTTCTTTCTTTGCGTGAACATTTGGACGCATTATGCAAAATCAAATCAATTTGAGCTTGATTTAAGCCCGGATGATTGTAATCACTCTAAGTTCATCTGTCTTAGCGTGTCTCCATCTTAGTGATAGCACTCGCTGCCTTCTCTAATGCAGCTCAATCAGGTCTGGTCCCATTTGTCGGTATTTATGATATCACAAATCCCGGAAAATATGTGTTGTAGTCCAAACGAGTTGTTCATTGTAGTTTTTGAAAAGTGATTTCTGTTAAATAAAATATCTCCTTTTGAAGTGAACTTTGTAACTTTGCAGATATTTTTTATGCTCAAACAGCAACATTACAGGCTAACTAAAGTTGAAAAAGCATAATAGCATTCCCCCTTAATTATTCTCCCCCGGAGACAATGAATGATACGCGATTAGGCCTAATGGTTAGAGAGTTGGACTTAACCCAAAGGTTGCAGGTTCGAGTCTCGAGTCGAGGTGGAGAGAGTGAATGAACAGCTCTCTTTCACTCTCAATACCTATTAGGACTGAGCTGCCCTAGAGAAAGGCATCAAACCCCCAATTGCTCCCCGCAGCAAAAATGGCTGCCCACTAGGGCTACACGATTATGACAAAAATCATAATTGTCGATTATTCCCTTGAAATTGTAATTGCAATGATTAATTACGATTATCACAATTTACATTGAATGATGTTTATACCATTGTTTGATGCAACTGCATGCCGTCATTTCATATGAAAATAAACAAGCTGAAAACACTCTAACTGAAAAACTTTTAGTGCTTTTCTACAGTATTAAGCCTCAAATGTCAACTATACATCGGATTGGTTTCTTCTTTAAATTATTAAAAAAGTAATCGGCGTACAGCGCGAGTCGGAAACGATACGCCGATTTCAATAGTTGTATATTTTGAACGCTCTATAGAAAATATAAACATCGATTATTTATCATACTTACAGGTTGTGATTTAGTGGAGCAGCTGGTCCAAATAAACCGGATACCGATCCATCTTTCAACAGCAAGCGTATGTGAATCCCGCGTTGAACTCCCCGAGATTAGAGAAGCAGTCGTCAGTAGAATGACGTGTTTGTGGGCAGAGTCAAGTTGTTCGCGGTCGGCCAACGTAGAACATGGGCACGCATTATGCAAATGTGTTACCCCGTGAAGTGTAGCCGTCACGGAAGTGGGATTCGAATTACTAGCGACTCGTTTCAGCTGTTCAGAGTCGATTAAAGCAAGCGAGTGGGAATTAACCGAACGTGGCACTTGCGTGAGTTAAAACTGTATGCAATACCCGCAACCTCACACCAAATTTCAGGCCGTGTAGATAGGCAAGCATATATACAAATCATTTAGTAAGCAGAAATCCGAAATTTACCTTAACATATCAAGTTCGAAGAAGATGCGACTGAATTGATGCTTGAAGAATGCACTTCCAGCAGCCATGATAAACAGTTGGCAGTTAAAGTTTTCTATGCATAATTTGATTTGACGAAAGTCACGAAACCTATTACTCTATCCAGTCATGTTGATAGATAAAAATAAAATTAAAATAAGCATATAACGACCACAAACGGAGGAAAATAGCGGAGTAAAAGTACTGATACATGACTTAAAATGTACTCAAGTAAAAGTACACAATTTTTAAACTACTCAAAAAAAGTACAATTACTGATAAAAACGACTTAATTACTGTAACGTGAGTATTTGTAATTCGTTACTTCACACCCCTGCTTATATCTATGTATCGATCCAACTATCCATCATCCATATTGTCTGTCTGTCTGTGTTTTTCTTAAAGGTAAATTTTTGCCGTTTTCTCCCATCTTTCAGCACAGCGAGGATACTACTTTTACAGTATGAATGTGAGACCGCTGCACAGGTAGTCTGAGAGACAGTCCCTTACAGACAGGTGCAGAGAGACCATTAGAACATGTCAGAGGAAGATCAGATAAGTGTCTTACTCAAGCATCTGCACAAAGCCTAATTCAGCCATACACTCAGTATTCAAAGCACAGATCGTAGACAGAGCTCTCTTAAGGTGAAAGAGGCCACTGGTTTCTTTTGCATGCATTTAGCTCTGTTTTTTAGCCCCTAAAGTTGAGCTGTGGATCATGACGTCAAAGTAGCTGTTACTCCAATGTGACCAATTCATTGGCAAAAACACATGGTATGTGACTTTTTAATGGAGATCTCTCTGTTTGTTCTGTCCACAGGAGAGGGATATGGCTCAGGAGACCAATCAGACACAAGTGCCTTTGCTCTGTTCTAATGGTTGTGGGTTTTACGGGAACCCGCGTAATAATGGCATGTGCTCGGTGTGCTACAAAGACTCCTTGCAGCGGCAGAACAACAGCTGCAGGTTCAGTGATTCAGGTGAGTCAGATGTATTGCAAAAAGACCCATTTCCAACTGTCCTGCATTAGCAAGTACTATTTTACAGTCAAAATTCAGCGGTATTTGATCACATTAGCATTGATTGGTTTTTAATGTCAACCCAAAATGCTGCGCGTAGACCATTTTATTTTGTTAATGTGACACATTTTTGAGTTAGCTTTGCAAATGGGTTGCAAAAGTATGAAAGATTTGTGATGTCAGATCAAAAGGAAGGTCTGTTCTGAGATGGAGAAATTCAGTTACTAATCGCAAATCGAAATCGCGATTTGAGACGTTGCAATTTGCTAATCGCAAAGCCTGCGATGTGGACGCGATATTACTCTGTTCCAGAGCATATGCATGACTGCCTGCCTTGAGTTGCAGTCTTACTTGCCCTAGCCAAGAGTGAGCGCACCTCCGTTCTCCCCAATCAGCCCACCATTAAAAAAAGAAAGAAAGAAAAAGCGGGACGGGAGAGAGACAGAGTGGGATTATGGCGTCTACTGGGTCAGATCGATAGTTAGGCAAATTAAAACTAAAGAAAAACGCATGCAACTTAAGCTTCGAAATGACAGACAACGAACAAAAAAGGTAATTTGCAAGATCTGTGTCAAAGCGCATATCAAGAGCTCCCTTATCGGTTCTGTTTTCAGTACTGGAGAATAAAAGATACATTCTTGGATATTTTTGTTAGTACGTGAACATTACCTTACACGTTTTATCTCCCCAACAGATTAATTTGAAATAAGTTTATAATGCATGTTGGCTATTCTCAATTCAGAAGAGCGCACACACAGCCTGTGTCTGTGAATGCTTCTCATACTCGCTCCTCTCTGCCCCACGCGGCGTGAATCCCGCGTCACAGACAAGCCGTTCATGCTTGCCGTACTCACGCAGCCTGTCTCGTAATGCTCGTTTATACTCGCGCCTGGCTCCAAGTTTAAAACGAATGTAAATTCAGTCTTAACTGCTTGCTAATTTCA